GAGATAAAGACAGTTTAACAGGTAAAGCAAAAGCCGCGCACACAAGCAAAGCAGAACAAGGAATTCATTCACCACTCCCCACGGGCAGGCAGGAGTTCAGCCATCCCCAGGGAAGCAGGGCTGCATCATGTGTAATGGTTTCTTGGGAAGACAAATGCCATCACTCAAAATATCCCCCCCTTCCTTCTTCTTCCCCCAGCTTTATATACCGACCATGACGTCATACGGTATGGAATATCCCTGTGGCCAGCCTGGCTCAGCTGTCCCGGCTGTGTCCCCTCCCAGCTCCCCGTGCACCCCCAGCCTGCTCGCAGGCAGCCCAGCACAAGAAGCTGGACTGTCCTTGGCTGCTCAGCAACAGCTCAAAACATCAGCACGTTATCAACATTTTCTCATCCCAAACCCAAAACACAGCCTCACACTAGCTGCTGTGAAGAAAATCAACTCTATCCTGGCTGAAACCGGGACAAAATGCCAGAAAATATAACAGCAAGGACATAGCAAAAATAGCCTGGAAGGGAGTATATACTAAAGAGAGAAAGAGCTTTACTAGGATTTAAAGAAATTAGACACATTTATATTTTTAATGAATTACTTTATATTGTTATACTTCATATATTTTACAATTGAAAATACATTATATTTTTAAGTATTCTAATTATATTTTGTAAAATGAAAAGATTATTTTCCTGGCCAAGTCTCTGTGTAACTCAGTTGAGACAATCTGCTTCTGAAAGTATGCATTTCTTCTCAAGGAAAGGCTGTTTCAGTTTCAGTGTCTGAATGATTTTGAATTTTTTGAAGAGTTGCCTGTGATGTTGACATTCAGTACTCTAATTTGAATGGGTATTTCTCTTGTTTGTATATTAACACACACCGTGGGCATTTTTCTTGGTACTCGATCATGTGCTTATATCTCAAGTATTTTACCGTATTTCAGATCTAACATTACTTTAATAACAATGTGGTGAACATAAAACTATAGCAATGATGCTTGCTTCTGAATGTTTATGAGATCGTGCGTGTGAGTTTTGGGTTTACACAGGCCTTCGCTGTCTCTCATGCTGAGCCGCGGCACCAACTGCATCTCTCCATGGCACACTGCGACTACCAAGTCCATGGAGTAGCACAGTACGAACAGTGAAGAAACAATTCAAGAGGAGGAAAAATAGTGGTGATGAAACTGAGTAACTGGATAGGTTGAAAAAATGTGTTGTAGTAAAAATCAAGCAAAACATAACTAGAAGATCCTTTGTGTTTGCTACAGTTTTAAGTTATCATCATGGGGAAATTTTGATTATTGCTACTGAGAATTGATTTCTATGAATAACCATTGACGCAATAGTATTGCTTTTTTCAGTATCTAGAATGAAGGATAAAACTGACCATCTGTAGAACCATGCTTGTACTCAGACACCTATGGGAGATGTTGCATGGCATTCAATTAGGGTATTTAGGGAAAATACTAATCCTTCCTCTGTTGGAGTTGGTGAATATTTTGCCAATGACTTCAACATAAGTGAGTCACAGTCACTATTATTTTTTTTCCCTGAAATTCTTTTAAAGTAGCAAAAAAATGTAGACGAGTCTCTTGATGCAAGGTATTCCTGAAAACTGGCATTGGACGCTTGCTGGTTGTAATGGGAATGTTCTTTGTATTGTGTGAGTCGCGTCAAGTAAGTCTGAGTGACTATGATGTTTCTAGCTGGTTTTAAAAACAGAGTTTTGAAACCTCCCATGCAACCCTGGATTCTACATTAGCACACAAGTGATCAAAACGTTTTTTTCTCTGCTGAAAGTACAAGAAATTTAGATTACCAGAAGGTACAATTAAATTTTTTGCAGGAAAACCTGAAGATCCCAAGGAGATATCTAGTCTGCAAAAGAACAGCTTTCTGTTTTTATTTGAAACTGATGTGTTTTTTCACCTTTAATTAGCTAACAGCAACATATTGCAAAGATTAATACAGAAGTTGAAATACCCTTTATGTAGTTATGTATTGCAAATATGTATGGAAAAGGTGTGTGAGTTCTTTGATGCATTAGGAAAACACAGTTAACATACAGTTAGCAGATTCACAAAATGAAAATTAATGCAAGAATTATTTAGCTAACACTGCGCTTTGCCCCAGAATCTGGTGTTTATTATATTGAGCTTTAGCAGGAAACAGAAGCAGTATCAAGTGGGAAAACATTTCTTTACCGAGCTGAGAACAGTATGGCTTTCTCGTTTCGAAGTGGGGAACCTGGCTCTTTGGTTTCTTTGTTCCTAGTTAGACTAATCCCAAGCTATTTTAGCCGAACATTTTACATAGTAATGGAGCCTGGGGAAGTGCAGTTGGCAGCTGTTCATGGGATAATAATGAAACACACTGTTTAGTACTGCATACTGCTGCTGTAAAATGCGGGAAGTATTTTATAGAGATCATGGCGAGCAGAGCTGGATCCACTTTAAGTGCTGTAAAGTGCGTGAACTGTGAGCGAGGAAGTTGTGTTTCAAGTGAGAGTAACTGGCGCTCATTTGCTTTTGCAGGTCAAGAAACCGTGTACAGAGTCAGATGGTTCAGAGCCGCAGAATCCCAGGTACGGTACCGGCCGGCAGACGCCGACTGCGGCAGCGCGGTGGTGGGGCGCGAGGCGGAGCTGTGCTGCTCACACGTAGCATCGGAGTGCCACAGACCTGCTTTGCAAAGAACAAACGATTGGATTAATTTTAATGGTTTTCCCTCTGGAAGGGGTTTTTTCCCTTTTCCCAGTTAAGTATGTGGGCTAGCGTCTAGGTTGTCCAGTTTAGATGGTGCCATAACACTGAATTGTCACCTTCAACTTAAAAGAGTCCTGTTAAATAATTTAGGGAAAATTGTCTAATCAAATACCACTTTCTTTGTTTATCCTTTTTGTGCATACCTGAGTCTTGAATTTACTGATAATATAGTTTATTTGGGAAAATTCACCTTCATCAAAACTTCTTTGTTTTCACCTTTATCAAAACTGCTTTGTTTTCACTTACACAAAACACTCCACTGTGTTCCTAAGTTGGGAAGAGGCCATACATTGTTTATAAAATGACTTTTCCTATTAGTCTTTGCTAATTTCATGAACGTGGAAATGTGGATTTAATTTCCATGTTTTGCACATATATGTACATGTATGTATAATTTTGAGCAGGTGAAGTAGTAGTTGTTTCAGATGTGCCATCAAGTGTGCATCTTCTTGTTGATTAGTAAGCTGTTGAGCAGCAGTGGATGATTTTCTTCAAGTTTTGTGGCTTGAAGTGCTTTTGTCTTTGTCTTGCTCCTGTTTAGAAGACCTATTTCAGTCTCACAAAAACTCAGAAGGTTTAATGGGGAGGGGAGAGCCACAAAACAAACCTGACATCACACTAATATTGTGATTAAAACTCAGAAAAGCAAAGTAATTCAAGGCTTGCCCCCAAATCCCATCCTTAACTATGTCTTTATACCACTGTTGCAGCAGGATCCTGAGGGGGTTACCTGCAATATCCAAGGCCAATGTAATAACTGTGGCTTGAGCTGCACAGTGCACCATCTGAATTGCTTTGATTAGCTTTTCATATCAGTTATTAATGCATCCTTTCATTTAGTTTGGTAGGAACTGGATGTATTTATGGGAATACAAAATTCAATGTCCAAATATGCTTCGAGTGAAATCAGTAGGAGTTTTGCCCTGGACTTCAGTGGAGGCATGTTGTGCCCTTCAGTCCTCATTTAGTAACTTCTGAATGAAAAATCTGTCTGCTGTGCTGCTGCTTTGGAATAAAATTTATTATAAAGGTCAAGCTCTTCCAAGTACTTTGACGGCATGGAGAATCCCATCTTAGCAAAACACTTGTGCACGTGCATAGTTTTAAGTGTCTTGCTTGTCCAAATGAGACGGTTATATCTCAAGTGTTTAAAAATTATGAAGAAGTCCATACTCTGATGTAATTTCATCAAACTGTGATACTGCAGCAATCCTGAGGACCCAGAGTACAATGTCCTGCCATTACCTCTGCATAGCGTGAAATTTCTTGTGAGCTGTAGTGAAATTCTTCATACCAAACCTGAGGAATAGCATACCTTTTTTCTCTAAGTGCAAAAGGGAACCCATATTACAAATAGTCAATGTGGGGGCTAAATCTGGTACAGTTCCATTTTTTGAAGGTGCGTTTTCAAACAAAAATGCTTTTCATTTTGAGCTCCACGGCCTCAGTTTGAGGATATTGCAGGTACAGTTGGGATTAATGTTCCTGGCCTCAGCGTGTGCAGTGCTGCGTATACAGCCTGAAGCGGGATTTTTTGGTCAGATCTTGAGTGGCGAGGCGACTTTGGTCTTCGAGGGGAATCTCTGACAGACCTTTGGCTGGAGCGGCACTAGAGGGCACCGCGCGGCACGTAAAACTTTAAAGTCTGGAGCCAGGTAATTCTTCTCTAAACAAGGCTTAAGTGAAAACATTGCACATAAAATGAAACATCAGCATAAAAACGAATGCTGGAGACACACAGCCTTACAGAATAGCTCCTGGCTTGGGACCTAAGGCCAATATCATTCATTTATTTAGCTAGCTTTATAGTCTGTTGGTTTTGGATTTGAAACTATTACAATAAATGCAGATGGAAAGTGTTTTTACAGTAGGGAAGTAATTAAATTGGGTGTGGGAACCTTGTCAGGAGAATTCTTGGAGTGACATGTGTGTATCAGCAGATTCTTTGTCTTGCTTGGCCTTCATTTGTCTTTTAGAAAGAAACAGTCAAACTGCAGATGTGACTAGTAAATTTTTTTTAAAGGGAATTTACTAATCTGTACAGCATATAAAAAATGCTTTCCAGAAGTATCCAGTTATACATGCAGTAAAAATCAACCTCACTAGCATTTATTTATAAAAAATGGTTGTTATCTCGACAGACCGGTAAACTGCCAGATGGAGAGGGAACTGTAGTTACGAATTGAAGTCATGGTGGATAGACAAGTTGTAAACACAAAAGGAAACATGCATGACTCTTCCCTATCTCTGTCAAAAATTTTGATCCTCAAACGACTTTGTCTTACAAATTCTGTCAGAGCTTCTTGGGAGTTATTTTGCCAAATCCCTATGAAGTGGTTGTGAATGCTTCCTTTTATCCCCAAATGTTTAGATATGATACACAAATGGTGGTATTATACCTAACCATGGTGGTATTGTGGCTGTATCAATATTATGGCAATCTTTCTTCATAAGTTTGTAATAAGAATCAAATTCACCCTGCAAGTCTGGATAGCTGTCCTGTCATGCAAAATGTTTAGAGCTTTCTGGAGCTGTTGGTGTCTGAGACAGAGGCAGTAAACGGTTGGGACTTGCCAACCGTCATACTTGAAGTATGTCATACTTAAGTATACAGAACATACTCATCCGTTCTGGACGAGACAGGAGTAACATGCATGAGTGACAACTCCGGTACGCTGGCCTTGTATCAAATTCACTAGCGGGTTTAGGTAGAGAAGTTCCTGTGTTCAGAGCCTATAAACATAACGTTGCTCTTAATTTTCTTATATGACAGGTATCCTTTAAAATGGTAGCAATTCCAAGTACACGGAACAGCTCCTACGTTAAATTTAATGCCATACAAGAATCGCCGAAGGCTAGTGCAGTACATGAAAGTTCACTTGTTTGCAGTTATTAACAAGCTCTCTTTTTATATAGATAATCAAATAAGCCATTTTAATTCTAATACGGGAGCATTTTGTTGCCTTAAAACTTGTAAGCTACACATATAGTCTCATAACCCAAGACCTTGTGGTGGAAATAAGTTAAATGCTAGAATATGTGTCATTCTGAAGTCTAGTAACATAAATACCAAGGCCCAGGCTGCTGCTCACACTCAGCTAGAGCACATTCGGTTTGGCTGCACATCCCAGGGCAGCATCTTTCTTTGCATGAACAGACTGCTTGATGCACACATCTCTGCTACCCCCAAATCCTCCTTCGATTCCCATCGGGCCTGCCAGAGATTCCACTGTAAGACCAAAGGTGCATCAGGAATTGAGATCTGGCAGCAAGTATTGGGTTTTCTGGGCTATAAAATGAAATAGGAGGGAGAGAAATTAGGGAAGAGAGAGGAAGTCCCTGCAAATGGAAATTTAGCAGGGTCTTCTGCTGCTTCCTTGAAGTCCACTGAAAATAGGAAAAAAAAATCATGCTTTGTTACCTTCTGAAGGGGATAGAAGAGTCTGCATAAGAATGATGAGATTTTTCTGACAGCTGAGACACAGTTTCTTTTTTTCTTGGAAGGGCAAATACTTCTTTAAAGTATGATCTTTATATTGTGAAGATGATATCTATGGGGAAGAAAGGGAAAACTTGAAGATTTTGAAAAGTAGTTTTGAAAGCTTGGAATTAAAGTTAGCTAAAAAATTAACTTGTGAAAATACACAGTGGTGTCAAAAAGGCATTACTTACGTATTTACAGAAGGGCAGTGGATTTTTTTATTGGTCAATTAAAGCTAAGCCCTATGGATTAAGAAGCCATTCACTCTAATTTTTACTATGAACCTGTGGATCCAATATCTCAAGCTATGTCTATTCTTCTTGACTTGTCTTTTCCTTTATATACTTTTTTTAAAAATTCCTAAAAGCAAAAGAAAGGGAAAAGAAGCTACTCTTATGTAAATCCTCCCTTTTAAAACTTTATCACATGCTGTAAGAAGAGTGTAATCAGAAGCATTATAGCTATTGTGTTAGTACCAGCTAAACAAAGTTCGTTCCTGTGTATTACTGAACTACAAATTCACCGATGATGATCACTGGTGAATATTGAATCATATACACAGATACAGTTGCCAGGTAAACAGGCTGTCCAGAAAAGCACAGAGGGATTTTTTTATGTGTTTAAAAAAGGTCTCCAATACTTCAATTTAATATGGGTTTCAGTGAGTATCTTAGCATAGATTGCAGCCGTTCATCACACGATTGCTGTTCTGTTCTTCCACACCCACACTGCTTAAAAGTGCACCACATAGTAAGATTTAAAATATACTAATTCCTGTTTCTGTCTCTTTATCTTAAAAGTCTCTCTTAGAACTTCTGAATGAGAAGGCTTTCACATTTTCTCACTGGTCTCATTTTGATACCTACTTGTGGTTTTTCATTGGTCAGGATATAGAGTGCATGTACCTGTCCAGAGACAACTACTGTCATTAATGTATCTGCAAGTAAATAGATGGTATTGAATGACAGTGAGAGCTACCATGGTTTTCACATTCAGTTCACTCGACCAAGGTTTGTTTCCTTTGCAATTTGGGGCCACGGCTGTGAATGCGATGTTCACTACACCTGCTGTACCTGAGCTACGCTACTACTGCATGAGTGCATTACTGAACAGTGTTTCCATGGCCATCCACAGATTTAACAATAATGAAAAGGAAAATAACATGTGTCTTCTGCATCTTATTCTGGACAACCAGATCATCAAAAGTGTTTCATTCTCAGCAGTTTGGACTGTGTAAAATACACCTGAGATTGCTCTTTCATTGACTAATTCCCTCAACAAGACCGGCACAGTCTTACCTCAGGATGATGACGATGGTTGATTCAGTCAGGTATTGGC